AGTGGATCACAACTTTGACACAACACAGGGTCTTGTTGTAGCAGCAGAACAAGGTAGAATAACTGCAAAAATATCAAATATGCTTCTTAAAAATAGTTTTTGAAAGCCATAGAGATGTTTGCCTGAGAACTCTGTGTAATACCTGGAGAAGTCTGCTGAGGGGCCTTTTCTCTACTTCTGGGAAGGAAGGGGAGGGTTGAATAGTACCTGACTTCTAGAGTGAGATGACCCACCAGGAGTGTATGCAGGGAGTGACAGATACTTAGTTTATCCATGTATCCATCTAGAAGGCTTGTCCGAAAAAGTGGCATCTTTGATTTTGTAAATTACCCATTTGTGGTAAAGAAATGTGCCATAAATGATAGAGGTCCATTTTCGTCAATTTGAATTAACTTTTAATTTCTTCATCCTTTTCAGAAAAACCAGTACCAGTAGATGACTCATCCTCTGATGAAGAACCACTAGCAAAAAAATCAAAGAAACAGCCTCCTACTGTAAGGATTTGTTCAATGGATTGCAAATTTGACTTTTCACCGGTCACTGGCCTGCTCCTCTGTTTTGTTATAAGTCATATGTTTACAGTATTATGCGGTTCTCTTTGTTTTCACTTTAGGATAGTGAACTTGAAAAGATTGTTAAAGATCTTCTAGACGGTGCAGACCTTGAAATGGTCACAATGAAGAGTGTGTGTAAACAAGTAAGTTTATCTCCTTCAGCAAAACTCAGTCTAAAACTTCCATCTCAACCCTTTAACTCCCATGAGTGACCAAGACAGAATTTCTCCTCACGATATCAATACAATATCAACAACATAAGTGATGAGAATAAAAAAGATCAATTTGGGAATAATTAGTTGATCCAATACTAAATTCTCTGAACCAACATTATAAGAATTGTATGGTTGACAGTAAGGAGAATTACAAATTTGACCTGGAGTTCAAGGGTTAAGAGAGCAAACAGGAAATTAACATACCCAGAAAGGCAAGCTATGTTCCAAAGGAAGTGAATTTTTTTTTCAAGAACTGGCTGGGTTACACAGTTGCTGATTTTATTAACAACTTCTCTTGTAAAGGCACCTTATCTGACTCTGAAAAAATACAAATAATTTTTCTTAATTGCTCTTCTGTTAGCAAAGAAATTGGTTGGTAAATAGCTGAAGTCTAACAAATTTTATAAAAATCATGGAATCTTACAATTTCAATATCCAGCCATGAGTCAGCTGTGGAATTCAAGTGTGGTTCTTGGAAAATTATTGAAAACAAATAATTTCAATAATATTGTAGAAGAAGAGAAAAGGGAGAGACTTGGATTATCTACTCAAAATCACTTCAAGTTCAACTCTTTAAGAAAATCAAAAATTGCAAGATTATGCCATGGAAAATGGAGAAATTTTTCGAAACACAACAACAGTAGCCAAAATTCATGTATTTTCCTCTTCTTTATTTAGGTGTATGATAAGTTTCCAGAGCATGACCTCACATCTAGGAAGGACTTTATCAAGGAAACAGTTAGAAAGGTATGACCTTATTTAACTGTGAATACTACATTTAAATGTTAACTTCTCAAAACTGCAAGTTCATGAGTCTTTGCTATTCATATAAGAACATGGGCAACAATTTTTTTATTTTGTGGCTGTGGTCAAGCAGAGCATCCTTCTGACCTGAGATTACATTCTGTTTCCTTTCCCTTCTGATGTGCTGTCTCCCTCTCTTTTTTAACTTTTTTAACTCTGCACCAATTTCCTGTTACCTGTACCATTCCTAAAGAATATTAAATCTTAAGGGTCTTTTTGTTCCTTTTTGGTAGAAACTGAAAGCTAAAAGGTTTCCTTTGAGAGTTTTTTGTCTGGTTTAACCCAGTAGTTAATTCTACACCTGAAAGCTTACCTTGAAATGGGTGACATTTCATTTCAATCATAAAGTTATCATTGGTTTTTGCTTATGTTTTGTTTTGTTTTTGGCAAATTAGTCCAGAGATAATAGGTTATAATCATTTTCAAAAAAACTCAAAACATGTTTTTAAAAAAATAGAAGTTATCTTCTCTGTCTTTGTTTCAGGTCATATCATGAAATCAGCCAAATTTCCATGACAACATAAACAAGTACTAACCTTTTTAGCTTCTCACAAGTCTTATTCATGTACACTTTGTTTTTACACATCTTTTGTTTTGTTAAAATTTTCATTCCTAACATAATACTTTGCAGTAAAAAGTTTTAAGTTTTAAAAAGTTCTTATGTCCTATCCTCTAAGATGCATAAGGGTATTTTACTTAAATTTTTGAATTGTTTGCATGCAAACAGAGTTATCATAACTCAATAGGAAGAAAAAAAACAATATGGTCGTGAGTCACTTTTAATCATAAATTAATTAACAACACTTCATGTTTTGGAGAAAGAGATAGAAATATTCTCTCTGATCTTGCGTCTACCATTGCTTTACATTATCAGTAAATTGTACATTTGTATCAGTATGATTCTGTTGGTAATGTAGTCTGATTATCGTGGTGAGAGAGGTCCTGAAAACAGGGGCAGGGGGGATTCTGGAATTTTTGAAGGGTGGGGAATCCAAACTTTGATTCAGAAAACAAACACACACCAAAACATTCATAAGGAAGGAAACATCTTGAGACAGGCTAGTGTTGATGTCATATTGAGTAGTGACGTGCAGTCCTGTTGTTGCTATAATGTTTCTGTCAGGCAAGTACTGAAAAAACCCACAAGTCTGATGAGGGGAGGAGGGTGTTACCTTGACCCCTCTATTCTTTCTTTTCTCCCCCCCCCCCAGAATATGCCCCTAAAAGTGGCATTTTTGACAAGAGGTTACTAAGGCTTTATCAACTTAAGTGTTTGTCAACATCAGAGTCAATGGGATGGCATTTTCTCCATATAACTTCACCCCTGAATCACTCATTTAAGTCGTAAGAATAAAGAAAATGATGACAAACTTAAGGAGCTCTTGATTGTTACACAAATTCTCCTTGTCAGCACCTTAGGAAATATATAGAGAGCAGCATGGAGAATAGGCATGCTGATGCTAGTTAGGGTGTAAAGGGTTACCAAAGTCCTTTTCAGGGCCACTCCCACTTAGTTGATCAGGCTACACCTTTAACTGTAACCATTCTTTGTAAAAATCAAGGTTTCGTCCTCAGCTATAAGGATGGAGTCCACTAATGAATGATATCTGTAGAACTGTCCAGTTTACGTTGTTGCTGTCAGCACATGTAAATGTGAACTCTGCTGGTACCAGTAAACCTCATGTCTCTGAGTTACTGCATTCCCTCCACAAAAACACTTCATAAACATGACATACATGTCTGTGAAACTGATTCAGCTTTATGAGATTAATTTAAATCATCTCAAGAGTGACCAAAAACTTCTGATCCCAATCAGTAATAATATGGACATTTGAGTTCTTTGTCGATAAGACAAGAAATCTGAATAACTTCAATCCATCTCGTTGCACTCACAAGATCATATAAACTGTAGTTAGTCCTGGATTCAATGATTATAAACCAAAAAAATACTTTGAAAGTTACTTGATTAACTTATTTTAGTCATTGCATGCCTGGTGATATCTACCTATGCAAATATTCTAATGGGCCAACACCCACTCCCTCTAAGTATTGCAGAGGATTGCTTGAAAAGCTAATGAAATATCTGCATGGGAGGCTAGCCATGCAATACCAGCTTGTCAACATGTAGTATATATAGTAGGAGTTTTTCAGTAATTCTTGTTAGCTAATAGTATATTAATTAGTTTTGACGTGGCCTTTGTGTACAGTGTACATGTCCTTCAATAACATTACCTCTGACTTGTCCTCTACACATTGTTTGAATCACAATAAATTTCATCGAAAGAGATGTGCTGTCAGCTGAATGTTTAGAGAGACCTAATGTCTGTGGTTTCCTGCCCATCTCCCTTGAGTGTTATCAATTAAAACATAGATTCTGTTGAATAGTAGATCACAGATATCATCAAAATGTGGTAAGAAAAAAAAGTGGTAAACAAGACACAGCCCAGTATGTTACTGATGTTCTTACCACATCTTGATGTCTTCTGTGATCTATTACCGTACAAACCCACTGCATCATGAAATCCATACATTTTAGATGATAAAAAGCAAAATGCTGTTACCAGAATGACCATGTCATCTATGGGTTACCAGTCACCTCGCCACCAAGCAGACTCGCCACCAAGGAACGTACTCGCCACCAAGCGAAGTCTTCTCGCCACCAACCACCAATAAAGAGATAAACTAGAATAAAGTAGTCGAGGAGAGTAGGATGTTCGAACGAGCACAATTCAAATCGGCCGATACGTTTGTGCGCTTGTCTGTATTTAAATTATGACCTTCAGCGACGTGTTAGATGTGTTCCATTCCTAACTCATTGACATCGAAACGTATCGTGTTTGTCTTTTGCACGTAAGCGAGGAGAAATTGCAAAACTCGATGCGAGGAATAAAAACTTACTTGAGAGAAAATGAAACTTCATGGGAAGAAATAAGTGATGAAATGAAACTCGATAGCAGTTGTATTAAAACAAAATAAAACAACATACATTTATAAAGTTTGAGTATAGACAAGCGAACAAACTTATTGGTTTCGAACGTGCTTTCGACAACATACCTACCATACCATCGAACGTGCTTTCGACAACATACCTACTGTCCTCGACTAATCTCTTTATTGGTGGTTGGTGGCGAGAAGACTTCGCTTGGTGGCGAGATCGTTCCTTGGTGGCGAGTCTGCTTGGTGGCGAGGTGACTGGATACCCATCTATGTGTCTGATTTCTAATAGAACACATATAGGAACCAAAGATGCAGGTAAAATTCAGCTTATTATTTAATGTCAGTTGGTATAGTGTTTCTCAGAGAGGGGCCTGGAAGGCAGCAAACTGTCTCAACAAATGTGTTTGGGAGTGTAGCCCTGCCTTTGAACAGTTACTGCACTGCAGATAAAGTTAAAGGACAAGGCAATATCAACAGGGACAATCAAACGGCAAAGAATGTCTTTTATTCTTATTATTATTTTCCTTACATCCTAAGAGGAAGGAACAACAGTTAAATTAAATTTATGTTAAGAACTTGAATTGTGACAAATTGAACAGGCACTTTTTTTGCTTAAATTAAGCTCTTTTAGTCTTCATAGAAATCACACTTTATTATTTCTATTATCAATTTGCTATTAAGAGTAACTGGATGAAAAGACTTTCAGTCAAACAGATGTCATCAATATGAATGTCACTACTTCATGAGTTCATCACAGTTAATTCATTTTAGAAATGGACATTAGGAGTACATCTAAGCATATTTCTGTTTTACAGAATTACTTATTCAGCAACAACAGCAACAAGTTAATTCAGATCAATATAATTTTTGGACTGGCCCTTACAATGGACCAGAATTTTAATTTGACACATTGAAACCAACTTTTCTTAGAGAAGAATTTGCTCCTTTTTTGAGATGTCAATTGTTACGAAAAAGACATTTTGAAAGCAGCAAACAGGGTGAGACTAACAGTAGAAATGGAGATGCCACCAAAACCATCAATCCAAAGAAAGCAAATCCAGCAACAACCTGAAAGAGCAGATGAAGAAGTTGATTAGAAACAATCCACCTCATTTTTTAATCCCTGCCATCTAAAAGTACCACATTTCCTCAGACAAGCACTGGTTCTGTGGTAGTCAAAGTTTATCATAATGGCTGGAGCATCCTCTGTTTGGCTGCTTTTAAGTTCATATTGCAAGCTTCTCCAACAGTGTTAACTTATAACCTTCATTAATGACAAAGGACTTTGATAAAAGTAGGTTTCTTTTGGTAGCCTTTGCCCTAAATAAATTCTCTATTGGGACATCCTTATGCATATTTCAACACAAAAAAGGAGAGAAATGTTGATGTTGGTTCCTACCTATCTACATTAAGATAACCTTAAACAAAAGAGAAACAACCTGGGTAAACTAACCTGTGTCCTGTGAAGGAATAGTGATGCCCGTGAGTGGCCTAACTTGTTTCTACATGGACCTTTGTCATAATGTCTTAACATTATGTCAGTCTGTTGAGTAAAACAGATAAAAGTTTTAGGTCTGTGATTACATTTTTTAGCATTTTAATTTTTCTTTTGGGTCAAATGGTCCCAAAACAAGTTTTGGATTCAAACCTGTCATTAAAATGTGCTGTAATAACATCAATTTTCATTAATTTCAAACTAGATTTACACATCGGTGGTACAAAAGGGGAGGTTGAAGGGTGTGAGACAGTTATGCGAACCTGAGATGGAATCAATGGTTTGTAGAACTCATGGGAATTCTCCCAACCCCAAAGTATAAAGATGAAGTAAATCCAACACAGCCAGAGTTGTCTCTTCCTTTTATAAAATACTCTATAAAAAGAAGCACAGACCCAAAATGTCAAAAAAGTATTTATCCTCTGGTCAATAAACACACCTTAATCAATGAGATTGTGGGTAGTATCAAATTTTTCTTCCAGAAAAGAATCTTACAAAGTTGAATGTTATTTGTAATACAATTTATTGTAATTAAAAACTGATGCTTGGCTTACATCCAAAGATTTTAAACAGTGCCAACAGAAGATGTGTTTACAGTGGCCACACATCATCTGGGCACATCCTGCTTCTCTCATTATTAATACTTGACAGAGAGGGCACTCCTTGATGTCTCCTGATTCACCATTTTCTCGTAATATATCCACAAATCTGCCAAATGGAAAATGGGATCTTGTAAGTAGATGTCTAACTCATGCTCTCTCTCTCTCTCTCTTAATGAGTGTGCATATGTGCCCTTTATTGTCATGACCTTAATGTTCAATTCAGCAGTTATACACAGCTAAAAAATCCAGTAAATCAAGTTCTGTGACCAACAATTTACTCTTTTTGATAGATGCTACTATTGTCAATCCTCTTGCATGCAAGCACTGGCTAAACTACAAGTTTGCTTCACTAAAATGCAAGTTTGCTTCAAAACAAACTGAAAGTTTGCTTTAATGACTGCAATGGCAAGATGCTGTTTATGAAGTATTTGGGAGAATTCAAGAACAGCATTTAACTGTTAAGTTTAACATTACCTTGTTCCTGATTGTGAATCAGAGATCACCTTCTTATACTCATCACAAGTCATAGCAGCATGCCAGTGTTCTTTACAAGCAAAGCAGAAAGTATACCCACACTAAAAAATAAGGTGTAACTTAATAAGGTGTAATTTTTGGAATCATCTCAATTGAAGAGCATTTTCCAAATGATTGTCACAAGATAAAAACAAATAACCATGATCATAATGACCAATTAGAACAAAGGAATAAACCAAAAAGAGCCAACAAGAGCCCAATAGAACAACAAGTTCACCCTTTACACCCTAACATCTGTATGCGATGATTTCTCCATACTGTTCTCTATACATTTCCAAAGGATCTGACAAGGAGAATTAATTTAATCAAGAGCTTCTTCAGTTGGTGATTTTTCCTTTGTTCTTCTGACCTTAGTAAGCAATTCAGGGGTGATAATGTAAGGAGGATTTAGATGCCAGTCACTCTTAAGGTGTAAAAGGGTTAAGTACACTGTATGAAATGTTGAAAAATGCAAGCTGTCATTAAAAGCCACAACTACCTTAAGAAAAGAATAAATTAAAGCATGTTTCACCTCTTGACAGACTGTAGGTTGTGCCAGGTCTGGTAGTCCACTGCAAATTCCTTCACAACCAGCCATTGGACAAAATGTTTTTGTTTTATCAACAGCAACCTCTACAACAGAACACACAAGAATGGTGAATAAAATTAATGTTATAAAGTGAACATAGACTTTGGTGAGCAGTCTAAAATCTTACTCATATAATTGATGTCCCACATTAATTTATTATTCTCTACAACAGTCAGGACCCCCCTGAAAACCATTTCTAGTAGTGCAGAGGCCTCCTCTGAAAAGATGTATGTAGTTATATGAAATATAGTTGCAATTTTGAACAATCAGTATTGCACAGAGGTGTCAGCATTGCATGAAGCCAAGCCTTCATGTGTGATAGTGACTTGTCATTTATATAATTATATGTTTCAAATTGTATATTGTGAGTATGTTTTACCTTTCTGTTTGAGCAGTCTCTGATACTTCTCAAACATGTCACTGTCAACCAGCAAAGAAATCTAAATCAAAATTAAATCAAGTATGAATATGAGAACATATTTTTTAAACCATTCTGGTTAGGGATAAAGTTCAATTGAAATGCAAAATCTAAATTCCTCTTTGATTAATAACTTTTTACAATGAACATCAATTTTATTAGCCCTTTAACCCCTAAGAGTGACTAGCATCTAATTTCTCCTTACAATATCACCCCTGAATCTCACATTAATGTCATAAGAAAAAAGGAAATTATCACCAACTAAAGAACACTTGATTGCTAGACAGATTCTCCTTATCAGCACCTTGGTAAATGTACAGAGAACAGTATGGAGAATAAATATACTGATGTTAGGGTGTAGAGGGTTAGTTAAAGAACTAGATGTAGACTAAGTAATTTTCACTTGAGGGTCAAAAGGATTCCATTGGATTTGCTTTACTTGGCTCTGTATAATTGGCCCAGAAAAATTGCACCAATCAGAAGTAAAACTAAAACCTATCAAGACTTGATCACCTGCGTTTTCATATACTCAAGGCAGTTTGGTACTTGCTTTAGTTTTTACTTTGAGTTCTCATTCGTAATTTAAAGAAATTTTTCCTTTTCCTGATAAGCCCTTGTGATTACTTTCGTTTTGGTTTAACAATACTCAATAAAGACATGCTCTTTCACTGAGTTTTGGATTGTTTCTTTTTTTTTTTTAATTATTTCTTAGTTTTGTAAACTTCTATTTACAATTGAGGCAGAGCTAAATTTTAGAAGATTTACTCTTTTATCACTGAAAGAAATGCTTACTTCATTCTTGGTCATGTTACCACTTCTGGGACACAAGGCATCAGGGCAGGGCAGCTTTAGAACTTGCCCACTGTTAATCAAGTATGATACGTACTTTCCCAGGCACTAAAAAAGAAACAACTTTTTGTAACAAAACAGACAGGATTATCACAACAAAGATGACAAAACAGCCCAAAACAATAAATCAAGAGAGAATTTTCAAGCAATTAAAACTTCAGTTTGTTACATGGGTTCAGTTGCTAAAAACAAGATCTGTGTGCCAGGCAAAAGCTAATATTAAAGGCATCTTGATTGCCAAAATCAACGAGTGACCAACTCGTGAACAACCTAATAATTTTCATGAACACAATACCAAAATAACATGAATTCAAAATAATCACTGTGTCTTTTAGTCCCCTAGGTTCACGTCGTGGGTGAAGAAAGGGGGTAAGATTCTAAAGAAACTGTGGTGCTGCATTGATGGGGGAGTATCAAACAAGATAACTTTGGCTTTATAAATTTAGTTGATAATGTAAATTGGCCTCTGTAAAAAGTCTCAAAGCTGATATTTTAAGCATTAGCCCTTCATCAGAGCGAATAAGTATCAGATCACAGGTACCTATCAACAGATGGCTGTACTTAGTCTATACATCATAAACATCCCCAAAATTTATAATAAGTGTAGGTCCAAAGTTAGAATCCACATTCTCATAAGATGCAACTGAGATGTGATAGAGCGGCATGCAGGGATTGTTCCAGAATGTCTCCCGTCAACCTGTCTGGCTCTACTTGCGTCAGCTTTCATTATTTTTTGTTTTTTGTTTTTTTTTAATTGTATTACATGGTCCAAGCTGTGCAGGTCATATGATAAACAACTTACTTTATTACATTTGCATAACATATGACTCAACAATCAGCTGGGGGTTTATTGCAAGTTTTAAAATAACACCTAGTGTCAACCTGTCTGGCCCTACTTATATCAGCTTTCATTGTTTTTTTTTTTTTTTTGGCTATTTTTTAGTTACATGATCCAGGCTGTGCAGGTCAAATGATAAACAACTTACTTTATAGCATTTGCATAACATATGACTTAACAATCAGCTGGGGGTTTATTGCAAGTTCTATTAAAAGAACACTTAGTGTCCTTAAAAGTGCACTTCACAGAAAAATAGAAGTACATGAACTACAGATCATGTACCCTTGCCAGACACAGCAGATAGAAACTCTGGGAAAATAAATTTGGTTTAAAACTGGACCTTAGGTCACTTATGGAAATGTGTAAATAGAGAGTTTTTAGTACTGGTCACATTTGGAAACAGATGAATAGATGTTACTAATTAAATATAAAAGATACAAGTTAACACTTTCACTTTTACAATCTCAAAATAAATTCTCCTCACTGTTTGTCATAGATTCCTTATTTCTATAACCTAATGAGAAAATGTTTTTAAATTAAACAGTCCATGAAATTTTCTATCTTCTTATCATCTTTCTGCATGAGAAAGTGTTGATGCTGGCAGAGAAATTACTACGTCATCACTCTTAAGAATGGAAGAGTTAAGTTGTTCACTTAAGGAAGTGTAACAATGTGAGTAGTGAGCTGTTAGCCTTACATTCACCTATTAGTTACAAGCCTAGGATACAAGTTAGGAACACATACCTCTTTACAAAATATACAACTGCATTTGTCTAGTTTCTGGCCCTTCTTGTGTGGATATTCTGATAAACAAATCTTACAATAAAACATTTTTCTGGTAGCCAACTTGCAAAGCCTTGGTGTTGGCGAACTTGTCTTGCTCCTCTGCGTTTTACCAGGTCCTTCTGCCATGTGTGGTGTTGCCAGAAAAGCAGGAAACATGGTATACAGAAGAGATCCTATAGAATGAATGGCACCTCTGAGTGATTCTGGAAAATAAAAACACATATTCAGATTACAAACTTGTACTTGCCAGACCTTGGACAAACTGTTGATGTTACATAATTAACAAATGCATTGAAGTCAAATGCAAGGTTGTATAACACTAACACAATAACCCTGCTAGTTTTTTTTTCTGTTCTCCATATCATCCATACAAACCAGTCAACAAAAATACTAATTTTTGAATATCTCCTCATGTGATATGAAATTAAAATTACAACTTGTGAGGTCAAAGTACTGACATTATTATTTTAATTACTGGTGTATATGTTGATCAATATGGACAGGATTTAAGGGGAGCCCCTGGCTGCAAGCACCCTGAAATGTTTCTTCAGTATTTAAAGAGGCGATGAATTTCACAAAGCAACTTTGATAAAGAGATGACTCATCAATTTTACAAGAAACATCTGGATGCTATGATGTATTTTCACAAAAATTTGTCAAATGTAAAAACTTTTATCTGGAGGGTATATTGAAATCTATATAGACCCCCTGGTTAATGTCTGTCAATTACAGTACCTGCAACTTAGTTGTAGCTATGCTTTTAAACATCTTCAATATTTCTCTCTGCTGAGCAATTGAAAAGACTGATGGATGATAATTTCCACTGCATTAGATGTACAAGCAATTAAGCTTCTGCTGACATTTCAAGTTGTAGCATTGATGCATGACATGCTAAACAGCTTGATGTTATAAACTTAATCATGCAACAAGTTTTTGAGAACAGTCTAAGAGTTAATGATGTGTGAAATAGGACTGATATTCACGTGGACACTATTAAACTATTGACTTTGCTTTTAAGTGTGTAAACATAAAAAAGCAATGAAAAATGTTGTATTAAAAATGCCAGGTCATTATTCATAATACTTCATGGTCATGATTTCAAACACTACCAGTGACCCCAATCAAAGATCACAGACTTTCAGCACACTATTTATTAATCACAATTGAATCAGTGAACTTCGATCTGCATTTCAAAGCTTAATTTACAGAAATAACATTGCCTCTGGCTGTTGTGATGGTACAGCTAAGAGTCTCGAGAAAAATTATGAATAATAAGGAGCCTGCTAGTCTGCTGTAGTGAAAAAGTTCTAAACTTGTCCAGGCATGAATGTTCTTGTGTCAGGCTCTGACAAAAGCTAAATACACAAACAAAACTTTTCAATTTTGAACATATACCTTTGATTCTAAAATTATATTCATTATAACAATTGTGAAGGGTTTAATGCCTGAATGGGTAATATCTAACCTGCACTTTCCCAAACATTCATTTCCTAACACTGTCTGAATCTTAACCTATAATTATTATAGTATATTTAGTCTGCACAGGAAGAAAATTCAGCAGCCTCAGGGTTTTTTACATCAAATATTCAATTTCTACAATTCAAATTGGCTTTAAAATATCTAGTAACCTTGGATACCTATACAAATAAATTATTCTAACAATATTTTTGGCACAAGCTCTTAAAGGAGGAGTCAAATAGTCTCACTGATGTAGACCAATTAAAGGAATAATAATTATTTTTATCTCCTCATAACAAAAATCTCAAGTCAATGGAAAACTTAACCTGTACATTGTAGACCAGAAATTCAAGAAATGAATTTTTTTTACTCAAGGTTACATTCAAATTATCCAATAAAATAATAAAATTAAATAATTGATCGAAAAAAAATTGTTTTAAATATTAAAAAGCGAACTACTACTACAATGTCAGATTTAAAGGCAATGACGAAGCATTGCCAACCTAATTTTTCAAAACAAGTTACAGGCAGTTCAAATTTTAACAGTAAATCAAACATTTAATTATTTGCCCGACAGCAGCCCAATTGTCACCACAAAATATAACGACATTTTAACCTACCAGAAATAAATCTGAACCTCGTTACACTTCGCTGTTTTGCCGAGTACTCGACAGGTTACTTATGAGAAATAAGACGCACAACTCACCATGTAGCGTTTGTACGAACAGAAAACGGTAAAAAAAATTTGCGTGTTTCATTCACAGTCGACTTCACAGCCCAAAACACTGCTTGGCACGATAACAAGAAACCGGCGCTCACGCAACGAGCTTGACCGACTAAACAGCCTTTTTTTTTTTTTCATCAAGAAATATTTTTCTTTCAGATAAATGAAAAATTCAAACAAGGGGCCGGTAGTAGGGATTTTAAGGAATTCCTTGATAAGAAAACGCGAAAAGCAGATCATTTTCAAGACATTAAAAAGATGGGAAATTTTTCAATTTCAATTGTCGTATCGTATAGACCGGATATATGGGTCTCAGATCACATAAATGACACAAACGACTGTTAAAATTAAAATATGCCAATTATTTACCTCAAAAAGAAGCAAAGAAGCCATTTTCATCCAAATTTTCAATGAAACCGGAGAAACATCCAAACAACCCGACGGACGACATTTTAAAACAACAATAACAATGACGTCATAATTTCAAATGACTACTGTGCAGGGGCTGGGTGGAAGTAAAATTATCTCAGGGGCCCGAAGGGTCAAAAGTGTTTGAAACTGGTATTTCAGTACCACAAAAAGTGATAATTAAAAATGTATGGACATTAATCTGCAATAAACGAGAACCTATCACGAAAAAGTTAATTCTCGAGGCATTTCCGTGGTCTATACGTAAAAAACTTCCCATGCTGCCATAACAACAGACCGTCACGCAACCTACCATAGTGCGCGAATGATCTAAAAAAAGTTACGATTTGTAACAGTCAGTGTATGCCTTCGTTAAGTTCCAAGGCTTAAATTCTTCCCTATTGAACGTTTTCCTATCATAGAAACCGAAATTTTGGCATGAAATACAACAAAGATGCTGCTGGACTCGAAGTTCCAGTAACGTATCATGATAGTGAAACGGAGTCAACCAATTCTTTCGAAACTGGTTTTTAATATTTCAACAAAGATATTAAGTTTAGAGTGAAGTCAGATTATTTATCCATGAACAATCCTACCTTCAACAGCTATTTTCGTCAGGTATCTGCAGATTTTCTTTATTTCCTCGCTCTTCGCCTAAAGCTGATTCTTTCTCTTTGAACAGAACTCTACAGAGAGGTTTCCATTCCTCGTTTACACCATTTCGTCTCCCAAAGTTGTTTTAACAAACATATCCTTTATGGTTTAACGCGAAATATTGGCTGTTTGTTCTAACTGCAGTTCGCTGAATGGCCTTTTACAAATATCACAAATAACCAAAACAGCCCATGTGAGCGAGGGAAAATTAAATTCGTGACTTTCTCATGGAGATCAGAACCGGAAGTAATCACTATACTTACATTCGATTGGTTGAAATCGAAGACGCGAATAGTGTCGATAGCTACGTCTTGTGATAATCATAAGATTCTTTATAGTCAAGTTTTCAATTTTTTTTTTCGCGCCCTGGAAGGTTTTCGGGCCAATTAGTGGTGCTCCCTTTTCTCATTCACATCATCCTTATTTCTATTTTAGTTGTTGTTTGTTTTAGTTTTTCCCCCTTATGTTTTTTTTGTTTTTTTTTTTTTGGTAACGTTTTCTTTTACGCATGTGTTTCCGGTTATTTGATCATTTCTACGATGTTTTGTTTATTTCGCATGACTCATTTGCTTCGTTTGGCAGTTTTAGCGAGTTTTCTTTCCATTTACTACTTTTTTTTGTTTTGTTTTTTTTGTGTGTGTGATATTACGAATTTAGAGTTTCAATAACTCTTTGAAATTGTCGCATTTATTCCTGATTGGTTTATGTCCTTTTGCTGCACGTACTAGAGCGAGGCCATGCGGTATTGCGTGTATTTGATTATTCGAGCTTTTAAAGATGAGTTCCATGCACGTAAAGACTCTTTAAAGTTATCAAGTGCCGTAACCGAAGTTTAATGCCTTTTGTGATGGTTATGACTCATTAAAGTTCATATCTCGTTGGAGCAAACATTAGCATTGACTCAGAAGGCCCTGATCTGTCCATAAAAACAACGTGAATTTTACAAGCATGGACCTTTTTTATTTTACCCTGTCGTGACTAACTCATCGTAGGGCATATTAGGATGAAGAAAACTGAGGCCAAGCTATCATCTCGATATGTTCAATAATCTATTAATTCGCAGAACTATCATAGAAATTACTGCCACAACAAATTTGTTCATTATAAGAACAAAATTTAGTCAGTTTCTTCGGGTGCTACTGACCTCAACTGATTTTAAAATTCTTCTTCTCCCAAATAGCCAAGATGAGAACAACCTAAACGCTAAGATTTTGGGCGAGATCATGACATACGCATGCTTGGAAGACATGAGGATCGTACGTGTTGTTTTTACAACGATGGTTTTCAATGACAGAACTAACTGACCCAAAACTCCCACAAGCATGAACACCGATGTTGGTAGTAAAAATTAAAGCTCAAAACCCCGTTAAGTACTTTTGCAGACAGTTCAGCTAAGATATAGAGGCCTAAAAATCACACGTATCTTTTTAATAACTAACGATGCCTTTCAGCAAAAACTCAACCCCTACAACCTTTTTACAAAGAAGAAGACTTTGGTAGGGAGGAACAAAACTTGGAACAAAACCTAATCAGCAGCTTTTCTGACGCTTACGGTTCACCTTGAGACTAGGATAAGTTTGATTACCTCGATAAAGACGAATAATTTAATTTTTTTGGCGGTTTCAGTCGTAGGCGAGGTGTTAACAACGTGCTAAAATCATCGATGCACCCCAAGAACAGTGTAACGATCGAGACCCGCATTTGGCCAGAATTAAAAGATCTCACGTGGCCTCGACACCTCTTATCGTTTTTAGTCCCATCAGCAGTATTAGGTTTAAGGAATAAATATTCTCTAAAAAAGTCTCTACCTTTAACAGTATGCAAAATAAATACGCAGGTGGCTTATAATCAACCTTAATATAAGCAAGGCGAAATGAGTCGATCCCTTTTATATACGTGAAAAACGAGTCCTTCTGCAAAGATCGAGTAAAATCATTTATCTTTTGATCATGCACAAAGTTTTTTGAAGCCTTCGATCCTGACACTTACGAGGATGACATTCGCTTCGGTCAATTATGCAAAAAAGAAAAATTATTTCTGTTAGCAGACGTTTGCAGAAATATTCAGTAATATTCGCGCGATTGACTCGTTATAAATGTACCTTGAGGGAATCAACCCAAGCTCAGATCAAGAGAAAGACAAGTTGATTATAAACTTGGCATCATACTGCACTTACCAAAATAATTTGAAAAAGACCACTCTCCCATTGTCGGCGGTTTGCGGGTAACTTTCCTGCAGGAATTGTCATAGAAATTAAATCCTCTTAAACGATTACTCGTAAACTAAGAAAACCTTGAACTGTCTAAAGTTAAACACTACAGGCAAGCTCTGTTTCGCTCTTCTGGTAGCCGTTACTTCAGACTCTTGCATAAGCAATTTTGGGTGGACCAATCAGTGATTTTGTTTGGGCAGAATGTTGAATGGTTCAAAGATTACCAGACAATAAAAGTCCCTTAGAGACCTGCAAAATATGCAGCCTTTGTGAAATAATTAATTCAGAACACCGATAGGATCTCTAAATATATCTTAATGAGCAATGAGCGCCTGCCATTCTTCCCAAGTACCCGAACGATGTTAACCTAATATGTTGATACATTCAAACATATCTAGTTTTCGTGCGGAGTGAGATATGTGTGCCAGTTTTCTAATGTATTCACACCGAGCGACACTAGAATGACGTCAACAATGACGTCTTAGGGCGAAAAATCTAGAGTGCTTTGTAGAAATATAATAGAAGGGAAGGGGAGCTAAAAAGGTAATTATGTAATCCAGATTTTTTCTATTCGATAACTGGAATGAGGAAAAAAAATGATGAAATGTGCGAGAGTAAAGGAGCAATATTAAGACAGTTACCTTAGCACTGCTAGCCTCCTGCGCGTTCGCTGACTTTTCTTTTGCACGTCACGCAATAACCCTACTCTCAACAACAGACAGGGAGGATTGCGTGACGACGACAATAACACCCGCATGGTTACCGCTGACCGCTAAGTGTCCTTACTTTCGAGATGGTGGAGAAGCAAAAAGCCGGAAATAGTAGACGTCGAAAAAGGGATCAGCCATCGCTGAAAATGTAAAGTTGATCGTTACCTCGAAGTGAAAAAGAAGAGAAAAAATCAATCTGTTTAATGTATTTCAAGGCAGCAGGACTCAAGATAACTACTTCAAAAGAGTATCATTTTGCAACTGCAGCATGGAACTGTCAATTATCGTCTCATGTTTAGTGGGCCTCTGGCTAAACTGGTCGTTTTTAGTTCAGACTAAGCACAAGTGGGAAACTAAGTTAGATATCCTGAGACAGCTGATCGTATTTCAAGTAACTGCGAACTCTTTTAACCTCTCTGTTCATCTGATTTTGTTGATACCTTGGCCATTTTGGGGATACGCGGTTCGACCTGGAGACTATTTGTGGACAGTAGATCCCCTTACCTGCAGATTGATCACAGCAGTCCTCGAAATTTCATGCATTGTGTGCATTTTAAACGCAGCTGGTATATTTCTGTCAAATCAGGGGAAAGACGAGCTAAGAAAGGAGAGACTAGGCAACAATGCAGCTGTAGTTGTTTCGGCAACGTGTTTTTTGAGCGGAATTCTCACTTTAGTTTACACAACAGCTATACCACTTCTGAAACAGGGCACTTTGCACGGAGAAAACTGTCCTACCCACTCGTTTTCAGTGCTCTGCGCACAGACCGAGGTGAAAGCTATCTATTTATCCTACGTGGTGTGTTCTTTATTTCTGTTTATCCTCAATTTCCCGCCAACAAAGTCTAGGGTGAAATACATTTTGGACGTGTGCTTCAAATTGATAACTGGGGTGTTTCATGTCATTTCGTGTTTCATTCTCTTCTTTGGGGTTGTGTTCATTGTATTGTTTATTCTTGGAGGATCTTTATATAGTGACGCTTTCAACATAGTCAAACTCTATTTTGACATAGTCGGTCTTGCCGTTAGCATCGGCTTCCCAGCAATTGTGAACACGGGGTTTACATCACACGTTTTTCAACCGCCTCCCTCAAACAGAAACCCGGACAATGAGAAAGAAGAGGTCAAAGTTAGGATAAACGTATCTTGACTTTTTCACTCTCGAGATCACACGAGTAATTCTCATTACTGACTGCCTTACAATTTTTATGATGTTTGTTTGAAGAATTTGGTATTGGATCAACTAATTAATTATCTCCTTGTTGATATTTTTCTTTTTTCTCATCACATATCTGCTTGAAATTGTATTAGTATTGTAAGGAGAAATTTTGTTCCAGTCACTCATGAGAATTAAAGGTTTAGAAGTTTCCTTCTCATTGAATAATTTAAATGTTTTGACTACATAGCAGCAGAACAACTGATGATGATGGCATGGCGATGAAAAATAATATATATGAAATATCATTTTTAGTTGAAGTTTAGTTAATTTATGAATCTTAAATACATCAAAAAAGGAAAATTGTGTAGAAAAATTATTGACCTTGACATATTGAATCCATTTGCAGCTAGAAGTTGAGAAACCAGTGCCTTTGCCAAAAATGTTCACTTATCATAATATTTACATGAACACATTTACACCATCCATGTCCAATTGCAAGAACTTTCAAGGGGATTTTTTTATTATTATTTTTATACTTTCAACTCACTATCTCCTTTATGGGTACACTGAATTTTCGAAATCAGGGTTTAAGACATCATCTAGCTGCAGATTGCACAATAATCATGTCATGGACACTCAAGGCCATGGGTAATCATGTCATGTATGAGCACAGTGCATGATTTATAAGGGTTAGTCATTTCAAGTTTGCCCCCTCTGTGTTGCTTGCTGTTTGTATATTTTTACACATTTAGAAATAAATTATCAGTTCCACTTACTGTTGTGACCATTTTTTTTATTCAATGTATAATAAAACAATTATTAGATTCAGTTTTTGTGATATCCAGAATAAGCAAGGTCTCTGTAAGGGTTATCACCCTCAGCCTTCAGCTGATAACCCCTACCACAAGTATAATAAAAGTATATATCACTTACTTTTTGAAAATGTCATGTAATTTAGCCTCAGGAGGCTGTGAATATGAATATTTTTATTAATTATTTATCTAACTATCCACCTCATGAAATGTCTTTTTTATAACTTTTATACATTTTAAAATGTTAATTTGTATGAATATAAAGTTACTTGAATCCAGTATAAGTTCAAACAAATTGAGCAAATTTCTTAAGAAGTCTCCACCATCTATACACATTTTTATAGAGAGGTAGTTCTAGTTTGTTTGAAAAACTACTTTTCCAGATACAATTGTTCTTGAGAGGTTTAACTGTGTATCAAACAATAATAGATCAGCTCTTTTTCCCACTTCTATGAGTCCTGTATGGGAGATCTTTGCAATTCTGAAAGATTAATTGATAAGATAAATGTTGTCAAAATCCTTAAAATGTATTAGTTTAGGAAAACTCGCACGTCAAGAGCTTACAAGCTAATAACTGCTGAAACCTATGATTAAGTATCCCAGGTTTGTTAAAAATATATATATACATATGTATATATATATATATATATATATATATAGACAGGTAGATAGTTCATATATATATATATATATATATATATATATATATATGAAGGAATCAAAAACAAATAGATGATGCTTTCATCCTTACAGGCCTATTTTATGATTACTCACTCATCAGGGGATAAAATAAAATCCTCTGATTAACATATATATTTATTTATTTATTTATTTATTTATAGTTTGAGTCCAAAAATTTTGCCCAAATTATTTCTCACTCTGAAGTTAAACCACTCCTTTTTTAAGCTTATCTTTTAGTCAAATTTTCCTAAGTAGTTATTTTTCAAGGAATGGATAATGCTATCCCCTGAACAGACCACTATCCAGTTGGTGGTATAGTTTGTTTCACTGTTAATTTTGAATTTTGAGACATGAACTAAGCATAACACCTATCCTACAATAACCACAATTGTACCTGGCAGGGTTTTCAGATAACATTGCTACAGCATCTCCCAAAGGAACTCTAAATATGTGAATCAGGGAGTGAAAAGCACCAAGGAGAGTGCCACAACTTCCAGCCAAGGTATTTGTTCCTGCAATTGACAGAGTACGGCCACTGGGAGAAACCTGAACTGAATGAGTGATGCAACAATGAATTAATGTAGTAGCAAAAGACAGTACTTTTTTTTGGTTTACCAGTGTAATTAACCCATGCAGGATGTTGGGAGAACAAAACAAAAAGTTTGCAAATCACCAGCCAGAGGTGAGTGACTTACAAAATTTTCTGAAACAATCACAATTACAGGCAAAAGCACCCAACCAAATGGAGAGTAAGTTAAAGAGATTCTTTGTAACATTAGCAGGAAATGGAAATCTCTTGTTTATTGGGCTTACTTTGTTTGCTTCCATACTTGACAGTTTTTCCGGGGATGCCTTCTAGAACACAGTCTGTAATAAAGGCAATGTTTTTGAAGTGGCGGGCTTTTAACAACAATGAAACAGCCATAGGATCTCTGGGGAATCAAACAAATATTATCATGGAGATGAAAGGCTCAAAGAAATTAAGTTATAATTTACAGTAGTCTACTGCAAAAAGCAAACACAAAAAAGAATTATTAACTTGCTGACAGAACCATGAACATAATACACAGTTTATCAGAACATGGAATTACTGTACTTTGACATAACTCTGTTATAGTTTATTTAACAGAGTCTGCGTCATATAATTAATTCTAAATTGTGATCTTTTGATTGCCTGATAGCCATAGAAAATCAAATGAATGGCAGGCCTACACCATATGGACATTTTAATAGAGGTCTTGCTCATGATGATAAAAAGATATATTTTAAATTTACTTACTAGCTGAGTTCATCAGTACTTACACATGTGCTAGATCTCCTATGATTTCTACTGTTGGGGTTTTTATTCCTCTATACTTTGAAAGGTTTGGCAATTCATCCAGGAGTCCAAAGTTAACAAGACCTGGAGATCTAGAAAGCATTAATTTTCCCTTTTAACCCTTTAACTCCCATGAGTGACCAAGAAAGAATTTCTCCTTACAATATCAATACAATATCAAGCAGACAAGTAATGAGAATAAAGAAACATATCAGTTAGGGGATAATAAGTTGATCCAATACCAAATTCTCTATACTAACATCACAAGAACTGTATGGCAGCCACTGAAGGGGAATTGCTAATGAGATCTTGGGAGTTAAAGGGTTAAAGACCCATCTCTCTTGGGAAAGGAAAAAAAGGGAAAGGCATTGTCAATTAATAATCAATTCCTCTCTAAATCCACAACCACCTAGTTGTTTATTGAAACTTTACTTGGGGCATAAAAATTTAAAAAATTGTTGTGATTTTCTGCTCCTTATACCTGTGATGGAAGGAACAGACATTAAAAAGATGTGTCAAATGAAGCTGTTGACTTTTGCTGAGTGACAAAGCAGTGAGAATTTCCTCCTCAGTGGCCTGTTTATCATGGCCAAGGGCTGGGACCACTTCCCTAGAGACAGAAAAAAATTATTATTGTATTAGTCTAGTAACTTCTTTTTTCAAGTTGCAATGGGAAAAGAGGAGATTATGACTAGATTTCCACTAGATGTTCACTTGAATTCCAGTTAAGCTCTTGATCTAAAAATGTGGCCTAAAAAGCCTCATTGGGTCTGCCTCTTAAAAGCAAAGGGGCTTCAAATTTCTTTAATTGGTGATCATTTCCTTAATTCTCCTGACTTTAATGTGTGATTTGGGGAATTGATATGGTTGTAAAACAAGGAGACAGAAGAAGGCAAATTTATTCAACACCCTCCCAATCATGCCATGGCAATCTATGACAAATACATGACCTAAAATCCCCCTTTTTGCTAGAAAAAAAAATCATATGATATAAATATTGTAAGGAGAAGTTAGTTGCTGATTACTCTTAAGGGTCAATGGGTTGCCATAATTGACTAATTAATAAATGACAATCTACAAATATTATTAAAATTATACTTGTAATGTACTACAACCTGTTATTGATAATATTATATTTCAATTGTTATTTTTCTTTAAAAGATGAATTAATCAATGACACCTTCTCAGCAGGCATTTAATTCTGTTGTAATTGTGAGATGCTTCTGCATGAGGGCTGATCGTCATGACTTTCAAATGAGGCATCTTATCAAGGAGCTGCTCAAACTCGTCAGAGGTCATGTCGTTGTAACTTTGTGGCATAGCACCAAGATCTGTGATAATGGGTCCCTGTAATTCAAAACAGAAGAATGATTTCTGTTTCAGGGAAGATTTCCCTTTGGGAGAATTCAATAAGGGCCATTCAAAGCTAATTAAAACAAAAGAAAAAATAGAAACAAATGAAAACAAAGATGGAAATAAAATGAAAGTTCAAGAATGTTTTGTCTTTGCATCCTCCTTTGAAAACTGGTGGATCAGGGTCCTGTGGAAGCTGCTAATTTCAATGACCAATTTCTTCTCTTTACAATGGACAGGAGAGGAGACTGGACTTAGGGTATTGGCAAGAGTTGTCTCCAATCTATTACCAACATTAGAAATACATGTTGGCAGATTTTGACATGGAGTCTCTGGTTCTGTAATATTTGCCAATTTTATCAAAATCTTGTAAAGTGGCTTCAAGTTAATCTGCCCTGAAGACACAATTTTAATAATCATGCCTGGCATTTCAATTATGTACCTCAGAATGGATTCCTTCTAAAACTGCTCCATTTCCATCAATAAGTCCCACATGGCTTTCAAGTATTTTCAGGATTTTGTCCTCCTTCTCACCAAGAGGATGATCAGGAAAGACCACTGATGCCAAAAATGATGTTGTTCCATATTGAATAAGTCTAGATCTTGTAAAGTCTTTAAGGAGGAAAATGTATTAATCTCCTTTACATGACTGTGATCATTTTCACTTTTCCTCTTTTTAGTTGTGTGTTTAACAAAAACCTGGCTGGAACCATGAAATATCATGGTCTATATAGTTCAAACTAATAAGCACACTTGGTAATGGCATTTACGGCAAGTGCATTTCAGCCTTGGACCCCTGAGAGTGACTAGCATCTGGTTTCAATACCACCTCTGAATCACAGGTTAAGGTTGAAAGAATAAAGGAAATGGTCATCAAATGAAGAAGCTCTTAATTTTCAAAAAAATTTTCCTTGTCAGCTCCTTGGGAAATGCATAGAGAACAGTATAGTGAATATATTACACACTGATGTTAATTAATGCATAAAGGGTTCAAAAAATGAGATGTACCTGGATTACACCAAAACTCTGTTACATCATCTGCCCCACCTAACAATAATATCAGCCAAAAACCAACTTTAGTAGCTTTATTTTTACCATATGAAAGAAAAAAATCTATCAACCACTCAGTCACTTTATTTATCATAGCAATGAGCAATATAACTTTTAGAGGTTACAGCCTAAAAGTTGAGTGGGCACTGTGGGCAAAGGTTTTTTTGGTGTGGTGATGCATCATGAATCAGTCTTCTTAAGTTCCTTAAAAAGAATCAAGCCAGAGTGCCCTTACTTGTCTTGTGTAGGGTTAGAAAGAGGGCCCCTTCTCCTCTGTGCAAGAGCTCCTGCCTTTTCCCCATCTTATCACGTGTATCCCTAAGATTACTGCACTTAACCCTTTAACTCCCAGAAGTGATGAACATGTAACTTTTCCCTACAGTTTCCATGCATCATCCAGAAAATTGGTCAAGGGAACACTCAAGCTCATCAAATAGAAGTTTTTATCTTGATCTAACACTGAATGTTGACACATTTTAGAGGGGAGAATTAACAATCAGATCACAGGGTTAACATGAAGTTTTCATTATGACCAGACTAAAAAGACATAAATATGGCATGCATAATCTAATCATTTTATATTACACGTATTATCAAGCCGTTTAGGAAAATTGTCGAAACAATGTTCAAAATTGGAATCCTACCCATGCCATGATTGTGAATGTCAATAAAGCCCGGGGTTAAATAATGACAAGTTAGTTTATCGTTTCCACATTCTCCTTTGCATCTATCAATAGCTGCAATAAAACCTCTCTCTATAACCACATCAAAAGGACCTTCCTCACATTGTCCCTGAGGAAAAACGACGATCTTTGCACAAACAATTAGAGACTCAAACATCTTCGGTCATTTGTTGCGTGACGAAGAAAACATACGTTTGTGACTTGTTCTTGAATTTAGCTTTTTACCCTTCAATCCTCTATTAGCTCCGATTCTTCATGGGTTCTCGCTGTTTGATATGAAAATTCTTCGGCTTTTGATTTCCTCATCGATCCAAGCCAGCAGCTCTAAGAGAAAACTTGACTCAGAAATGCCAAGCTATGTTTGCGTGACGTTTACCTGTTTGTGGATCAAAGATCGACCACAATCAATCAATACACCAAATCAGGGCAGGAAATCTGACGAAATTTAACGAATACTTCACTATTTCGCGGATTTTAATCGTTTTTCTAGCTTCTATCGCCAAGTTATGCAAGACGGAGCCTCCAAAATCATTACCACTTTTGCTGAAAGGAGCTCAATTGAGGTTATCACTGAAGGTCATCGAAGGACACGGAGGTCTGGGAACAAGACTGAACTTTGATACTAGTCGCGAAGAGCAGCTTGGGAGAAATGTTACGTTGACAAAGGCGCCTGCGTACATAGGCGAAAGCCCCGGAAAAGAGATAGATTTTTAGTAAACTTCTCTATAGTTTACTAAGGAAGAAAAATGCTTTCTTCAGCTCTAAGAGTTGGATTTAGGCGGGTTTCAAATGCTACTAGGAGGCATGTTTTGCCGACAGTAAATTCAGGTATGTTTTCTGTTTATTTGATTACGAGACGTTTACGTGGAGAAGGATGTAGATATTGTGGCTTTCACGGTTGCACGTGAAATCCAATGAATCGAGTTTTACATCTTTCGCGTAAACGAATCTGGTGGTTTCATTGTTTATTAAGTGAATTGTAATTTGGAAAGTATTTCTAGTCATAGGTGGCTTCGGAGTACTCTTTTCGTATAGTTTTCCTGTACTTTCTTGTGACAGTACGAAGGTCACGCAAATTCGTCAACCACACCACCAGACCCACCCCCTGAGTTACTTCATCATAAAGTTTAGAATTTTATTGAATTCCTAGTTTTAGCTCGCAACATTTTCACTTCTGTTTTCTATTTCAGGAATTCTCACCCGGTCCAACCAGACTTCAGCAGGTATTGAAGGCATTTTTTCTAAGTTAGAGACTTGTTTGATCTGGTAGACAACCATCTGTCAAGTGGAGGTGCATATTGAAAAACCCAATTAAAACTCCTCATAAGGGCTGTATGCAATGGTGTGAGCAGGTCTAGTACAAGCCACAAGGCCTAGTGTAAAGTCTTGCGAGATGCAAAGTGCTTAACAAATAAATTTGAGGTTGATATAGATGAAGATGGCAAAATTTAAGCCTTGTGTTTTAGTAAAAGATTCCACTTTGTTGAGAGTCTGTTTGGTAATAGATCACAGATCATGTCAAAATGTGATGAGAACAAAAAGGTGTCACACAAAGTGCAGCCATGTATGTCACTGATTTTCCCACCACATTTTGATGTTTTCTGTTATCTATTGATGTACAAACCCACAGCATCACAGAATTTGTGTGTTTTATATGATAAAAACACAAAGCACTGTCAAAGGTGATGTCATCTATGCATCTGTCCTCCAACTGATTATAAGTAAGAACCAATTGAAATGATTATTTACTTCAGCATGTCATTTCAAGAGGATAGAAAGAAACAAGAAAGAAGAGAAAGAAGCATTTGTATGATAAAGTGCTTGTTTCCTGAGTGAGGTTGGGCAGACAGAAAGATATTTGGCCCTCTGTGATAATGTTCAGACCTTGCTACCCTCTGTCCCTATTTCATGACCATGATCAAAGCAATTTTCTGTTCTGCCCTCCTAATCAGTCAACAATTGCATTTCTCATCCACTTTTTTATTTGTTTATGTGTAGCAGACAACTGTGTAAAATGCCACATCCAGGATGGTGTTGCTGTGGTTAGGTTTGATACTCCAGACTCTAAGGTAAGTCCTAAATGTGGAAAAAAAAAGTATTACAAGAAAACTTCAGAAATTTCACTGTACAGTATAGAAGATGTGGCTTCTTTGATTTGAATCTTTAACTTCTTCTGTCAGGTTAATGTGCTGTCTGAAAAGCTCACAACAGAGTTGGTTGAGGTAAGTATAATAAGAGCAGAGTCTGCCTCTTTATGAAATCATTATAGATTATGTTCATTGAGTTACCTCATTGCATTTGCATTTATTTTCTTATTGCCACTTCTTGTCTGAATGACTGATCAGGTAATGCAAGGTGTGGAAAAAAACCCTGATGTGAAAAGTGTTGTTCTTGCATCTGCTAAACCAGGATGTTGGATAGCTGGCGCTGATATCAAGTATGTAGGACAGTACGGTTTACAAATTATTATAATTGTAAAATGCATGCACCAATGATACCTAATATTAAATACTATTAATGGTAGATATCATGATTTACTTGTGAGGAAAATAACAATGTTTCAACTTCATGCTACACCTGTGCAGTGCTATTCTTTATAACATGATAAGTGAAATGGTTTTAACCAAACAAAGAACATTTATTTAAGAGCAATTTATTAGCTCTCAATAGCTATGATGGATTTTTTTTAACCCTTAAACTCCCATGAGTGACCAAGACAAAATTTCTCCTTACAATATCAATACAATATCAAGCATACTTGTTAGTGATTAAAATAAAGAAAGATGTAAATTAGGGGATTATTAGTTGATCCAGTACCAACTTCTCCAAACTAATATCACAAGAATTGTATGGTAGAATGTATGGAGAATTATTGTTGAGAGCTTGGTGGTGAAATTTTAAAGTTTTACCTCAAGTGATCTGCTATCATACTACTTTCCTGAGCAGCTAAAGTGTTTCTTGATCCTGGGTCCACCATGTTTTGGAAATTTCTTTAATTTCCACTGTCCCTGTTGATGTTGTTTGGGTGATGTCTTCAATTAATTTCTCCTTTTCTTAATTTTTCTTTGACCTTGCACATGTGGTAGTCAGGTTGCTGAACAATAAACTTCTTTCAAACAAGCCATAGGCACATCTTTCACCCTTTCACTCCCAGGAATTATCAACCTGAGTAGTAGTCATTATCAGGGAATATGGTATAATTTAATATGTACGTTGGCAGTTGAAAGCTAAAATTGTGAGCATGAAGATGAGTGAAATTAATGTAACACGTGTCATTTCTTTTCATAGCATGTTGAGTGCTGGTGACACTGCACAGAAGGTAAGTCTAGAGTCATGTATTTTTGTGTACATTTACACATTTATTGTTAGTAAGTCTATCACATTAATTTAGTGCCAAGCTGACTGTCATAACCTGACCTTAACTACAAACTCAGCCAACAATACAATTCATATACATCATGAAAAAATGTGAAATAATTGACTGAAATAATTGGCAAGATCAGTAGAAAAAACATTAGTACAGAATACAACTTGAAATCATGAGTAGATGGGTAGCTAGATTAGTAATTGTGGGTGCAGTGAAAGGTCATTTCTCAACTTGCCTGACCTAAATTTTAAAGGCAGTGTTTTGTTATAATCCCACATTGAATCATGTAAGATTTGTAATATTACCTCTTATCTTCTAAGGTGGAAGAAATATCAGCAAATGGCCAGAAAGTCATGCAACATATTGCAGTGAGTGCTTAAGCCCTTTAACTCCCAGAAGTGATTAACATGTAATTTCTCTCTGTAAGGTACATATGTTATCCAGCAGACAGGCAATGAGAATACTCAAGCCTATTAGGCAGAAGTTATTATCTTAATCTTACCTCAATTTTTCATAACTTTTATTTATAAAGAAATGTGTAGCAGCTAGAGGGGAGAATAACAATCAGATCTTGAGAGATGGACTGTTCACAGTGAACAGTCACTGCATGACAATTATGGTTTTGATTTTTAAGATGGCATTGTAGTAATTACTTTGGGTCTTTGTTACAGGACAGTCCTAAACCTTATGTTGCTGCAATCATGGGATCATGCCTTGGAGGTGGTCTAGAGGTAGTTGCATTATTATATATGACCTGTACAGTCCTGTGCATGCTTTTGTTTAAAAATTTTTGACTAACATCTTAAATGAGAGCCATATGAAATGGCTTGAGCAGGGCTGGAAGAGAAATGGTGATATGATACAATGGTTATTGACTGTGTCAGGTCAGGTGGGATGTGGAAATATATGGCTCTCAGTCACGATGTTCCTTAAGCTAAGTATTTTCCCGTGCTGCCCTCCCACACAGCACATAGAAACTTACTATTCTTGGCTGCAGTTTGGATAAATGACTTAAGATTGCAATATAAACTGTTCTTTGTTGTAGCCCATTGTCTCAAAAGCATCAAATTGGGAATCACAGCAAAGTACATATGGCAAAGGACCAATCTTGACAGGGATAGCTCTACTTGCCAAACATAGATTATCACTGAGAGAAAAATGCATCTGCAGATTATCTTGAAAGGATTAATGTTTTAAAATTTCCAATCAACATATAAGCCTGTGGTAACTGGGCAATAAACCATGGCATAAATGGTTTCCAGACAATCTTAATATATGTTTGTATGGATAAAATTTAAATTGATAATGCTACTAGCTGGAGTAGATATGCATGTTTAAAGCTAGTGGACCCTGTTGCTTATGTACCTGTAAGATATTGAGTGACCCTTTGAACAACCTGTCTTCTGTTTTGATCCTCAGGTGGCCTTGAGCTGCCATTACAGAGTGGCTGTTGATAATCAATCCACTGTCCTCTCTGCCCCTGAAGTCATGTTAGGTCTGCTTCCTGGTGCTGGAGGAACTCAGAGATTACCTCCACTTGTAAGTCAAAATGGCATTAAAGAAAATCATGTATTTTCTAGAATTAAGATTTTTAATAATTAAATAGTAGGTCCATATCTAAGGCTTTTCATTAACCCCTCAATGGTGAGATATGATTAACATAAAACTTCTCCCTACATTTTCCATACATTATCCTGCAAATAGGTAATGAGAATACTCTAATTTATCAGGTACATTGTAGAGGGCATTATCTGATCTTATACCAAATTCTCCTAACTAATTTGTTAGGAAGTATGTAGCAGCAAGAAAGGAGAATCATTGATGAAATATTGAGAGTTAAACATTAACAATTTCCTCAATTTTTTTTTATATATGATTTATTTAGGTTGGCCTTCCTGATGCTTTGGACATGATGCTAACAGGAAAAAACATTAAATCAAATAAAGCTAAGAGAATGGGTCTCGTTGATCAACTGGTCAAACCCCTAGGTATGCTGATTTGTTTATCGTATCATAAACAATACCTTTTCCCTTACCCACTAGCTTTTAAAACTGTGATATTGAAATACTACCCAGTCCCATTTAATTTTATAGTTTCCTTTTGCTATGCAAATATGCAGAGAAAAGTAACCAAAAGAGACTTGAACCAAGTAATTTCCAGGTTAACCAACCTAAGTGTGGTTTCTATGTTA